ACGCTATCTCCTTTCCCAGTCCTTCCAGCCCCCCCGGGGGTACTCACATTGAAGTGATCCCAAATTCACCACTTCTGTCTGAAAATGGGTATGTTATTTCACCCTGTCTGTCTGAAAAGGGGTATCCTTTTTTCATTATTTCTGTCTGAAAAGGGGTCCATATTTTCTAAAGACTGTTTCTAGAGCTCGAGTAATCCAACAATCAGGAGAATGAAGCTGAATGTTTTCTTTCTGTAACTTTAGTTCGATCGTCAAAGTTTATCCCCGGGAGTTAATATGGCCTGTCACTTTCTGATATACTTGCCCTGGACTTCCCCTCTGTTTGCAACCATGTTTGTGATAATAAACGTGTGTTTGAAACTTGATGACTGCATTTTGATTTTTTCCTTTCAAGGCCACCTGCTTTTCCCTTGGTACCATTTATGCTTACTGTCTGGAAATGGGTGTCAAATATCCACAGTTTATCTGAAAAGGGGGTAAGCAATTTGAGTTTATTTCTACCTGATAAGGGGTAGGGGTTTCAAACAACCAGCTACACATCCCTGTCAGTGTTTTTTGCAAGTAATCTCCTTCTCGTGGTTCATTGTGATTGTTATCCGATACAATTGCTCGATCGACGCATAACCAGATTCACGCCCTCACATGTATTACGTATGCATAAGAATCCGGCGACACTAACCTCTGACAAAACCCTTAAATTTCAATAGCGCCATCATGAGTTCACCAAACGACTTTGATCTTATTAACGTTCCCAGACTAAACATGTGAAGGCTGTTTTAATATTGTGGCTCTACTGTTAGTGGGGTTAGGTGTTTTATTTGTATACATGGAGTGGGATTGGGGGTTGGAGATGTTGTATGGATTTATTTATTTGTGCGTCAATCGCGCAACTGATTTGAATAACAATGACAGTGATGACAGAAGCAAGGAGAAGGAAAGAAGATAGCGGGGAAAAGACATGACGAACGAAAAGACCCTTGCCCCATTTTAGTTATTACGAATAGAATGTCGAACTCAGTAGTAATTCATTTACTAAACACTGAAATGTCACAATTTGGGGTACTCACTGTCTTGCGTGATTGCAGTGTGTGTATATTTCCCCTGTCCTCATTCCCGATTCACCCCCATGTGAATG